TGAAATGTATTTTCTTTTTCTTTTATTCCTTTTTTAAATGTATTTTCAAGGCATACAGCGAGCTAGTAATTTTTTTTTCTTTCAAATTTTACTATCAAGATTAAAACATATAATCTTTCTTGACATGTCCATTCAGAGTCTTTATAAAGCAAAACTTTTCCCCCTTTTTAGGCTTTTTTCCCTTTTTATAGAAGTGTGGGAAAAAACGATGAATCTCAACTGTTTTTTCTTAATTGTCGTTTTTCCCTTTTTAGTGTTTGAACTCATAAGTTTGACTCAAACTGATTTTTAATTATACATTAGTCGCTATGAGTTTTGTACCTTAATGTGATTTTTAAAACCACTCATCTAAGACCATGAGTTTGAATCTAGTTTCTATATTAAAATTATAGTTCTATTATTTATTTACTTACAAATCTTACCATCTATTTTCTTGATGCAATGTTTTATTCCTAATTTAGAATTCAGACTATACATTTCAACACATCACAAAACTAAGTTAAACTCATATAGATTCAAAACTTTAGGCTCAAACCTAAAAGATTCAAAACCATACCATTTGAACTTGTGAAGTGAACAAAACCTTAGTATAATATACTCACGCACTGAATAATATCTATAATTATTGAGTCATTATTTATTTATATCGAAAGATGAAGCACATTTTTATTTAGAGCCAATAAGCATTGAGTTGAGAGTTGAGAAATAGTTTCAAACACTTATATCATCTACCAAACCATTTAAGAGTCAATCACATGCAATTAAGCGCATGTTTAGTACACCGTATAAGCACTCCGTATTGTATTGTTTAATAATAATACAATGTTTGGTGACATTTATACATTGTATAATTTAATACAAGATTCAAAATTAATAAAATACGAAGTGTGATATCTAATACGGAAAATAAAATTTATATATTAGACCGTATTATGCAATTTAACTTAAAATACCATATTAAAAACATATAAAGTATTTCACCAATATTAAGGCTCGGGGTTGGGTTTTGGGACTGTGTTGGGATCAAGTTTCGGCACCTTAGTGATGTTGGATTTATATTTTTTAAATATCACATTTTGACCCTTAAACTTTTTAAATATTATATTTTGATCACTAAACTTTTAAAAATTTATGTTTTGACCCCTCAATTTTTCAAGATTATATTTTAACCCCCAACTTTTTCAAAATTATATTTTTGCCCTTATTTTTTGAAAATTACAATTTGATCCCATTTTTAAATTTTTTTTTTTTTTTTTTTTTTTTGTAAAAAGACCCCTATGTAGCAACTCTACTTTCTCCCTTACTTCCTCCAAATATTGGGTTCAGGTTGAGATTAGAGTCAAATTAGGTTATGAGTAGGCCTAAATTTTATCTTATTACAAACTAATACATAAATAGATTACAATGATAAAAATAGTATAATGTTTAATAATACCATCAACCAAACATCATATTATATAAAAATTATACAAGACTATACGATACGATACAATACAATATAATATTATATGGTACACCAAACATGCCCTTAACTACCTTAATGATTTTCCTTTCTTATAGATGGTAATTGTATGAAGAAAAATATGTTAAAAATGCAAAGTTGCAACTTTTCATGTTACCTGCTCACTAGCAACCTTGCAAAAAGTCAAAACTTTTATCATGTGTTACTCAACAAACCAACCTATATTAATAGTGTGCAGATTTACTTTTAAAGTTAATCAAAATGAACATGAGCCACCTTAATCCGGGCAGTTGCCCTTGTTCGGGGCTCCCTTAAACTTTTGCCCCATTTTTTTTTTCTTACAATTATCTTAAAAAGTTTTCTTTTAAGACGCAAATAGATAAAAAAAAATAATAATAAAAGAGAGGTATATATGTGATTTCTTTGACCATGGTTCACATATCAAAACCAGCAATTTGGATGATTGCATTGCAAGAATAACCTCCTACATTCCATATGCTATGCATTAATAGCGTCCTTCGTGTTAAAACAATGGAAAATATAATCATTAATCTTATTATTCATCAACATCAAGTGATATTTTTTGATGAATATTACTTTGCAGGAATACCCCCTACATTGTAGATGTTCATGAACATCGGTCATCTTGAGAAAACAGCACCAAAAGAAAATATATATGAAAATTAAATAAATTAAATAAAGTTGAGGATTGATGGGGTTTCCTCTCTAGCTTATAGTAACAAATCAAGCAATTTCCTAGTGAATGTAATCGATTGAATCAAATTAATTGTACAACTCCCGCGGAATACTCTAATTGTTTATAATCAGTTTAAGTGTTAAATTCATATATCAAATTTGAAACGTAAATTTATAGAGAAAATTTAGAAAAATAACCATTATGCCATTAAAAAATATTTTGGTCGAATATGAAACATATTCTGGTACATTACGAAAAATATCCTGTCAAAAAGCATATTCTGGTAGAATATGTAAGATACTAGAATATCAATAACATAAATGATAAATTTAGAATTGATGGAAGAAATAAAATAGTGTTATCTTTTTTATGAATTCTTAAAAATTTTCCTAATATATATTATTATATTATTATACAAAAACTCATACAATTTGAAATACTAGTTTCTGAAACATTTATCAGTGCAGAGAAAGCTTAGGCCTGGACCCTCTCGGCCAATTGGCTCCTTATATTTTTTGTCCTCTCCAACAATTTTTCTCGTAGTTTATATTCTTTATAAATTTTTAATTGAAAATTTTATATATATAATGTTTTTTTAAAAAAATTTAATTGCAAAATTTATCCATAATGCTTTTTTTTTTTTATAAAAAATTCAACTATACTACCATACAAATTCATAATTCTTCGGACTCCAATAATTTTGAAAAGAGAATTAAACTTTATAATAAACAATTAATTTGAAAGAAGAAAAGAAAGATACAAATAAAAGTGAACATAAAAACAGTTACATTACAATTTGTATAATTCATTCCCCAAAAGAAATTTCTAGATGTGCCACTAATATTAATCTTAGCCAAAGTCCGAATTGTCCATCTGAAATACTGAATTATCTTAATATTATATTTATAGAAATTAGCAATGTACCAACAAAAATAGTGTTCACACGGTTTTTGTTTTTGAGATTTTTTTTTTTGTACATCATCTGTCTATAGCCTCAAAATATGACATCTGTACTCAATATAATAAGACAGCCAAGTGGGGCATTACATTTTTTTTTAATTATTTTTTTGTTTCTTTCCTAACATTAACATGACAATCTTTTAGTTAATTTTATGTGCCTGTGTTGAGCTGGAGAGTTCACGACACAATTAAATTATAAGGTGGGTGGGTGGATTTTTCTTCGATGCTCATTAGAGGTTTCCAAAGAACATGAAAACGTCGATCGGATTTTTCTTTTTTCTTTTTTTCCCATTATATTTTTTGTTTTTCCAAAAGAAGCAATATTTTTCATTGATCTTCAATATTTTTTTACGTGCAAATCCTATCAATTAGGTGTTTCCAGATATTTTTGGCTGTGGTGCTCATGTCACGTAGTAGTCGCTGCAACATTGGAATTTAGAAGCTCCCACGAATTTATATATATAATATATATATATATATATGAGTTTTGAGATTCATTAAGAAAAGCAAAAGATTTTGACGACCAACTTTTTGTAATTAATAAGTGATAAAAAGATATCGACAAATATAAGTTCATATTGAATAATACTTTTCAATTATTCAGCGTTGTAATTTCTTGTCAAATAAGTTTTCATCAACGGAACATGAAGATCGTTTACCGCCCAAAAGTTTGATTGTCGTTTCCTTCCACAAAATAAAATAAAATAAAATAATTTATAGTCTCTGGAGAGTCCTATTTTAGTTATATATTTCATATTTGTAATTTACTAACCAAGTCAAAATTGTTAACCTGTAAAACGACAAAAACGCATGTCTTAGAAATGAAAGAAAAAACGTAGCGAAACACCACAAAAGTGCTTATCATGCCGCGTCATGAATGACACCACTATTCACTCATTTCCATTTGTCCTTCTTGCTAAAGAACTTATCACCACATATGATCAAATATCAACAAACAAAAAATGCATCTATTTTTAATATAATTACATGAAATTTTGACCCAATTTGACAAAAAAAAACTACAACAATAAAATGTTAATAAAAACCAAAATTTTATGGTGTTCTATGAACTAATACTCTCGCACCCTTTAAACTGTTAGATTTATATTAAGTGTTAATAAAAACCAAAATTTTATGGTGTTCTATCAACTAATACTCTCGCACCCCTTAAACTGTTAGATTTATATTAAGTTTTATCAGTTACATTTTTTTATTTTAATGTGATTTTAATTAAATTTAACTAACGTTTTAAAACATGCATTCTTGATCACTGTAGACAACTCTTAAAAAAGAAATAAATAAATAAAAAATTGATCTATATAAATCTTTCTACGGTAGGACCTTATATTAATAGTACACGTTTTTAATCGTTGAATTTGATCAAAATCATATTAAAATAGAAGGTATATGACTTGAAAACTAAAATCCTATATTTTTCAAGTCTTGTATGAATCACCCAATAATATATGGAAACTTTTTTTTTTTGGCTGGAAAAAGCTGAGAATATATGGAGAACTTGATAGAATATTTGAGTCCGCATGGTCCGGTAAAACTCCTGATCAAAGTCCGTGTAAGCTGTTCACTCGTTTTCCTTTCTTAAATTGTAAATAAAGTAATCATTGTGACGTTTTCTAATGGCTATACAAAATCTGTCCTCGTTCCACACATTATTTTAACAATTTAACCTACCTTTCATTTTTGGTCTCCTTTTCATATTACAAAAAAGTTGATTAAATCCAAGAAACTCGCAAGAAAGTTCGCCACTATAATCTCTCTTTGCTTTCCATGATAATGTTGTTTATAATATATATATATATACCCCAAAACAATAACCACCTCCATCATTCATAAGACCTCCCAAACAACTCCTCTTCTCTCAAAATCTTCCCATTTATTGATCAACTCCAAATTCAAGCAAATTTTGGTTCCGAAACATGAAATCTCAAAGCAAACCCATATTCTCCTTTTCTTGTTTTTTGGTCTTGGTGATTATTCTCTTTTCACATTCATCAAAATCCGTCAAAGCTCAGGAAGTTGGTACGTAATACATAAAATTGAATGCTAACATGTTATATTTTTTGGTGGTTTTTTTTTTTTTTTTTGATAAAAATATGACGGTTTAGAAATATTATTAGTCGATGATAAGTACATACTCCGTTTTATTTTTATTTTTTAATACGTGAGAAATTAATGTAACGAAATGTGTGCAGAGGATGAGAGCGAGTTTGATTATTCGAGAAGGAGCGAAAAGGGGCCCGATCGCTGGGGAGAGCTGAAGAAAGAATGGTCTGCTTGTAAGAATGGAGGAATGCAATCTCCCATTGATTTGTCAAATCAGAGAGTAAAGATTATTCCAAAGCTGGGCAAGCTCACAAGAAGCTACACACCTTCTAATGCCACGGTCAAGAATAGAGGTCATGATATTTCGGTAAGTAATCAATTTGACAAGCAAAACCTATCATTTTTGCTTCATCATCATGATCAAAATCAGGCTTGTGATGAACTCATATATACATACATACATATATATATATATATATATATATATATGGCACGTTTAGTTCGTTGATTCGAGTTTTTAATTCGAGTTGAGATGTGATTTTATGTGAGTGTTTTTTACTGTAGCAAAAAAGTTAAATGTGATTATTTCTGAGAGCTTTTTACTGTAGTAAAACTCGAATTCTAAACTCGAATCAGCGAAATGAACGGGGCCATAATATGGGACAATAACAACATGTGTTATCACATGCTATAGCCTATTTCCAACTTTTCAATTCAAATGTTTTTATATGGAGCAATTAAAACATGATATCACATGTTGATCTAGTTATGGAAGGAAAAACATATTTGATATGCAATATTTAAGAGGTTAATCCTGTTTTATCCTTATGCCTATCTAATCTACTAATTATAAGCATCAAATTCATAAATTTGAATATATTGTTTTTATCTCAATCATATCGATTCCGGCATGTCAAATGCTTCAAATTTTATAGCTACACTACCAATATATATATATATATATGACAATTATAAGTTTTTCTGAGCACAATTCATTAATGGTGATTCTAAGAGAAACCTCCTCACCACCTGAAACCTATCAACTTTTTTTTTTTTTTTTTTCCTTGTTTGTTGGAGTACCACCTAATTGGTTAGTTCTTCTACTTCTATTTCTATACTCAACTAGCTGGCTCTTGGCTGTGACCAGCCCATTCACTTGCTTTGAATTTTCCTATTTTTTTTTTGTTTTTTTTTGTTTTTTTGGGTGTGCCCTTTTGGTCTATCTCTTTTGTCTTTTATACAATAAGTAATTGGTTATGATGGATATAAGAATGGTGCAGATTCAATGGCATGGTAAAGCAGGCTCAATCAAGATCAATGGCACCGAGTACTTCCTCCAACAAGCGCATTGGCACTCACCTTCCGAGCATACCATTAATGGCAGGAGGTGATTTTTTTTTTTTAATCACTTATCAAAATAAATGAAGAAATTTATATTAATTGAGTTTTTTTTAAAACAAAATAATATTCTCTTATATAATTTTCTTGATTCATTATATTAGGTTTCATATGGAGCTACATATGGTTCACCAAAGCACAGATAAGACCGTTAAAAATAATATTGCGGTTATTGGTGTCCTCTACAAACTTGGCCGTCCTGATTCTTTCCTCTCTAAGGTAAAGTGTTGTTTCTTTTCTTTCTTTTTTTTCCGTTAAAAAAAAATGCAAGTGACTCTAAGATAGATTATGTTAAGTACCTACATTAAGCTAAGTTAATCTTAATTTAATTACTGAAATATTGTCACAAGATTTAATTAGTTTATTTTTCATTCTTTTCAGAAATAAAGCAAAATTTCATTCAAATAAATCATTGTTATAATCTGCATGGATTAATTCAATTGTGTAACAAGTGTCACATATTTGAATTTTCAGTTGATGAAGGACATAACAGCAATAAGTGACAAAAAGGAAGAGAAACATATGGGGATTATTGATCCATCAGAGATCAAGTTGGGAGGCAAAAGGTATTATAGATACATGGGATCATTAACTGTCCCTCCTTGTACCGAAGGTGTAATTTGGACCATCAGTAAAAAGGTAAATTAGTCTTAATTCCTAATTAATTAGTACATATAGCCACATAAAACATTTTCCTAATTCTTTGAATATTTTTTTAATTATTTTTTCATTTGCTTAATATATGATTCTTAATTTCAAAACATTTCAGATTAGGACAGTCTCCAAACAACAAGTAGAGCTACTTCGAGTTGCTGTGCATGATGTGAGTCAAACAAAAAACAAAAAACAAAAAAACAAAGTTTCTGTATCAACATTCCAAAAATTTATATAGCTATGAAATAATCAATTATTTATTAATGGATATTTATATCTAATTAATGACTCTGGTTTAATTTTTTTTGGTTATTACAGTATGCCGAGGAAAATGCAAGGCCGGTGCAACCGATCAATCGCCGAGACATCCACTTGTTCGACGGCAAAAATCCAGCATAATTTCATCAAGTTTAGGTCCAAATCACATTAATTTTGTTTAATTACAATATATTAGTGTTTGCATGTTATTTTCGAGTTAAACAAATAGCTAGCTTCGTTGTTGTATATAGCTACTCTAGTATTCTTCTTATTCAATTAGCAAAAAATAAAAATAAAAAATTCGATTATTCTTATTATTTTTTTAATAAAAACCTCCAAAACGAAATTTTATTAAATAAGATTAAAAAACAATACGCCTAGTCAGGAGGAGGTGAGAACCAAAACCGTCAGCTAACCCTAAATCTTAAGATGTAAGGAAATCCTATAAATAAATTTACAAATTAATCCAAACAATTTTGAAATCTTTAACAGAATTTCAGCTGCTGGATTATTAATATTGAACCGAAATGAAATATTCAACAACGTATAGCAATAAACTAGTACTCTTTCCAAACTACAAAATACCAAACTTAACGAATTCATGGGTTGAATTTTTTCCTTCTAATTATGTATTTTCATTTTTTACTTGAATTGAATAACGAAAGTAAAACACTTTAAAAAAAATAAAAATAATAACGACAGTAAAATTGAAATGGCTCATGTTTTGAAATGACAAATTGTCCCTACTTATCAGTTACAAAAAACACACAATATTATCGCTATATATATCAATCATAAGGAAAAAATATGGATCAATATGTAAATTTACAAACATCTTTTAAAATAATTGTCACTCCATATCATCGACAAGTCCTTTGATGGTCAGTCAGGTCCTCCAAAAAACGAGATGTCGTACATATTTAATAGAAAGAAAACGAATTTGATACAAAGGGCAGAAAATGACATCTACTGTTAATATATTTTATTTAGCACCTGATTTATTTATACGTCCTTTGTCGTTTTCATTTTTCTTTGTTTCCAACTGTAGGACTATTCGTATACAGCGGAAAATTGACACCTAAACCCCGTATTATGTCCTCCACTCATTAGAGTTGCATAGAACTTATTTACAAAGAAGTCAAAACTCAAATATATATATATATATATATAAAATATCTTCGTGTATATGTTATGAGTGAGATTTCTTTATCTATCTATAAATATAAATATAGATGGCTTGCAATGCTACGAAATTTTTATAATATCACGAAAAATTGATTAGATATGTAACACCCTGAAGAATTAATTGAGATTAATTAAGGTAATTGAGATTATTCGTGTGCCTAATCTGATTTAATTAATTGAGTTTAAATAATTTTAAGGTATTTAAATTATTCACAGTAATTTATTTAATCCAGAAGTGTGTATGGGCGCATTTCTGGACTGTTATATTTTACACATGTCATTTTCTTTTATTTTTCTTTTCTTTTCTTTTATTTTTCTTTTTCCTTTCTTTTCCTTCCTTTTCTTTTTCTTTCCCGTGTGTTTCTCTCTCTCTCTCTCTCTCTCTCCCACTTCCGTGCTCTCTCTCTCTCTCTCTCTCTCATTTGTGTCTCAAATCAAAACCGGATTCGAACCAAGAGTGATTTCAAAGAGTTTTCAACGTCAAGAGAAGGATTCGAGGTAAGATTACTGAAAGAACCTCTCTTGAATCTATGTTTTTCGGATTTCAAAACTTATTTTTGGTTCAAAACGGATTTTGATGATTTTGAGTAAAACTAGAGTAGAAATTGGAGATCTTGGGTTCTTTGGACTTGTTTCAGGACCTAGAACCCGGATCTAGTGGTTTCCCTTTGAAATATTTGGATTTGGAACTGGATTTGCAGGTTTTTGGACTGATTTCCGCGAGCTTCTCTCGCGCAGT